CGCCAACAAATGCCCGAAATCGGTGCTCGTTCACGCGAGTGACAATCACGCAGTGTGAATTATCAAAGGCACGATCTGAGGGAATCGCTGACATGTCGATATCTGGAGCTGTCGCCGATTCACAATCACGCTGTGTGCAATGATTTCTGACTGAAAACTACATCGGCGATGACCTACAGCCAATGAGAGACCAAGATACAGGGCAGAAGGAGGTTCGGGGAGGAGTTATAGACCAGAATATCAGTATATTAATAGATATATGAACAATATCATACAGAAACAAGCACAAACGTTTGCTTGACCAGCCACAACATCAGCATAACAGTTAGGCTACTGCAAAATTATTTACCTCCAACTCTCTTTGCAGAACACCCAATCCCTGTTCCCTGCATCTCCCTCCTGCATAATCTGTTTTTATTTTTCTCCTTGTAGCTGGAAATCAGCTCACAGACAATTTGCGGGCTATATATATATTTTATAATTCCAGTCTTGCTCGAGAACTCCGGTCTGACGCACACGGGTTCTCGCGTTATTTCCTTATCACTTCTCGCGTGTGTTTTGTTGTGAAACGTAGTTTGCGGACCAGACAGAGTTGTCGGCGATTCTTCCTATTGTGAAGTCATGCAGTGTGAAACCCCCTGTCGCCGATCCATTGTGCAATGTGAACACAGCAGCGACTGACTGCTACCTCAGATAGTCACGCAGTGTGAAAACCACGGTGACCCGACGACTTTGAAAATCGTGCAGTGTGAACTCGGCATTTGCAAAACGGTCTGGATCGGGTTGCGATTCAGTCTGAATGATTCGGACAGCACAGTTGCGCACTGAATCATCTGGAGCGGTCAAACAGGTTTGCAAAATGGTTGAATCGTTTCGCGAATAAGTTTGGATGATTTGAACACACTAGATCGTTTGGAGTGGTTGTACAACAACATAAGCGCAGGATAAAGTGGGATCTATTGATTTGTAATACATTTTCACTGATTACGATATTCTGAGAAATATGTTCCTTACATTTCAGAAGTGAATTACTCACTCGTAAGGGAACATGTCTGAATCGTTTGTGCGATTCAGTCTGAATGAATCGGACAGCTCACGCAACCATTTAGCTTTGGAAGCAGACGCCTCACACATTTGAATCTTTTGGTGCGGTTTCTTCCTCAGTAAAACAGAGGTACTTCACAACTCAGAAACGAGGCCTCGATGAAGTGGATATTTACCTAAAAGTCACTGAAACCAAACTTGCAAATGCATCCTATCGTCGATTAAGCGTTTTTATTAAACTACACCACTCTAAACTGCAGGTCAAACTAAAGTGAGTAATACACAAACTTAATGTAACAAATTGTGCCATTTACAGTTGTTGTTGTTGTTTTTATTTATTTGGACATTTACCATACCATTGGTAGGCTACATGAATTAGTTATCTTTCATCACCATATGGTACCTCCACAGGAGGCTATTTTTAGTCAGGCAGTTCTGAGAAAATTGTGCTGTGTCATATGAATAACTCTTCTGAATATGCTTTTTAATCATACTTAAAATATTGTTACAGTCAAAAGCAAATGTAAAAAAAAAAAAAAAAAGTATGATGCTTGGTGCTGTTTTGGTCAAAATTTCCCCTGGATGCCATACCTAGGGTGCCAAATGGGGCAGTATGGTCTTGGATTGGCATGAGTGTGAGTAGATGAATTTGTTATAGCTACATTTAGCTCAAAATGGTTCAACCAAATAACAACAGTTCTGGGGTGTGAAGAACAGAGTATTAAAATAAATACAGCACATCTTCTAATTTTACATCAGTCTTATTTATAGTGTGATTCAGTGCAGGATCTACAGCCAGTAGCCATGTCCTCTTTGGCTGCTGAGCTGGATTCAGGCATCCAGGGCCGGTATAAATACGTTGATTTGTGTGTTCCTATCTGTTCATGTCTGCGGCCCGCATTGATTTCATATGAATTTCACCTTTAAGGGCTACCATTTTGTGACAAGGTACATTTTCTCTTTTACCATTTACTGGATGACGGTTTCACATGTAGAAAATATATCGAGCCTCTTTTTATTGATATTGAGCGGATGCACCGTGCAAAGTGACCTTCCTGCGAAATGGCTTGAAAATGGATCATCTTGTGATAGGCCATGGTAGTACAATTTACATTCAGTGCTTTTAAAATACTTCTGCAATTCACTGTATGTATTTATTTATTCATTTTAATGAAGGTGATGCATAAAGGATCTAATAAATGTAGTGATATAGCCCTCTAGCTAAATGATTTATAATATTTCAAAGCCTTGTAAACTACAAATGATCTGAATGAAATAAATTGTTTAGGTTTACAAGCTGTACACACCATCTGTGTTCAGAATGAATACTAGATTGCTGCTTACTGAATTCTGTGCAGTATATACAGTGGACTGCCTAGTTTTGTAGAAATATTAAGTGAAACAGCACACATTATGAAATGTTTTGAAATTATAGAATGTAGTTGACATGCTACATTTGCCACACTGCAAGTTTAATTATCTCAGAAATGTAATTTTATAAAAATTAATTTTATTTTTTTATTTTTTAATCCAATTTTGTTTAAAATGTAATCAAATAATGGGTCAAGATGGAAAAAATGCGGTTGATGTTACTTTATTTGTAACACTGGAAAAGGAAGGTTGTGAGCATTGTATTGTGGAATACAGTATCCCACTCAGCATTCTCTGTTGTATATTGTACATTTGGTCAAACAGGATATTTTATGCATACAGAAACTGTGCATACTGGAGAAATGGTACAAGTACTATGGTAATGCTATTTAGAATATGGCCATAGAAAAATGTTTGTGTGGCACTATGTTTGGAATGGAATACCATGCTGTGTATACTCCATACTATTCAACCCTTGTGCTGTGCCGAAAATCCTTTAACTAATCTGGTGTTCCTGGTCAACAATGACCGGCCTTTTGAAAATCGCTTGTAAATTTCTCAATATGCTATATTATCACCAAATCTTGGATTCAGTCTTTTTGTCAACTTGTTATTAGTAGGAGGTTTGTTCATTTTGGAACTGATTGGTTGTAGGCCTCACTGATCTGAGCTTATGCTCAGATTATTTTTCAATTATTTTTCGAATAATTTTGCCGATATTGACACAAAAGCTGAGATGCATAAGCTCAGATCAATAAGGAATGCAATCAGTCAGTTCCAAAAAGAAATCCAAAACCTGTGCTAATTGAAAGAAAGTTGATAAAAAGATTGAATCCAATATTTGGTAATAATATAGCATAATGAAAAAATTCTAAGCAATTTTTTGTAGACTGGTCATTTTTGACAGGTACAAAAATTATCCTTATTTATTGATTGATTGTTTTTTTGTGACCAAAGTCAGTAAGTTTTAGTCAAATGTTAACTACCATTTTTGGGACAAAGAAAATCCGCTCCGAGTCAAAATGACCAGAACACAACATGAGGTTTAAAAAAGGTCATGTGATGTTGTTAAATGTGAGTTTTGGCCAATTATAATTATTTAGATTTTTTTTTATCCAGTTGAAACAAAATGTCCTAGCATTTGGTCAAAATCAAGTCAAGCGCATTGCATTGTGATAAACAATACTCCATGCTGTATGTTCTGTTGTATACCATACTTTTTGCGAAATTTGCAAACTTTGCACAGTTTACATAGTATATACAATGGGAATAGTAAGAGTAGTATGCTAAAATGCTATTCCGAATAAATCCATGGAAATGCAATGTGTGCATGTTTGCGAGAGAAAGGAAGCAATCAGGGTGTGAAGATTCAAATAGATGGATCCCATAAAATGTCCCATTCACCACGTCCTCCCTGTTCTCAGTTGAAACCCTGCTTGGGCTCCTCCCTCTCCTTCCATTTCGTTTTTTTTTTTTTTTTTCATTTCCTGTCTGGTCTTGTTGAGATATATAGTTGAGTATCATCGGCATAACAGTGGAAACTAATCCCGTATTTTTTAATAATATTACCAAGGGGCAACATGTATATCGAAAATAGCAGAGGACCTAGGACAGATCCTTGTGGCACTCCATAGGTTGTATACCTAACATTTTGCCAAATTTGCATACTCTGCACAGTTTACATTCCGTATACTGCAGGAATAGTAAGAAGAGTAGTATGTTAGTATGCAGTTTCGAACATAGCCATGAAAATCAAATGTGTGTGTGTTTGTGAGAGAAAGAAAGCAATCAGGGTGTGACTATTCAAATAGATGGATGCCGTAAAATTCCCCATTCACCACATCCTCCCTGTTCTCAGTTGAAACCCTGCATGGGCTCCCCCCCCTCTTTCCATTTCGCTTTTTTTTTTTGTTACAGTGCTGCAGCATTTGCTGATTGATGAGGGGGTGCAATTGGACTCATCCATCATGACTTGGCCAGGTTAGGTATCTTTCTCTCACTCACCCTCTTTCATTCTCTCTCCTGCTTACAGCCACACATCTTGATTGAACCTCGGAAGAAGCGGATGTCAAACTTTTCCCCTCTTGTCTTTTCGCCTGCTACATCTCGGCATCTATCGCCAGACCTACAGCTCAAAAATGAAATAGCTGAACCTAGAGCAAGGCATCTTCCTTCCTTTCATCAGCTTTTCAGTCTTGCGCTCTGAGGAGAATTAGTAGTATACCATGCTATCAGATTCTGTATGCTTGCTGGAGTAATGCGGCAACTCACCGGACCTCATTAATAAAACACAAGCTGAACGAATTCATCCATGAATCCTCTGTAAAACCATTCACACATTAATCGTCGAATTAAGTAATACGTTTTTGTGAATGATTCACAGAGAAATTCGTTCTGCTCGTGTTTCATGAATGAGGCCCAGTGGGAGATATGAGGGTTGCTGCCTTACTCTGCTTTGACTTATTAATGTGACTTTTAATAATTCACATTATTCAAAGACAAAGTAGATGTTTAGATGCACAATGGGCTAAAAATACTTAAAAACTATGTACTATTTTTAAAATTCTATAGCATAAAGTTTTAGTGCAGCCATGTTCATGACTGCAGCACACCTGCAGAGATGCAAAACATTTTTAACATTTATTCCTGGTCTTTTTGTGCATGATTCATAAGTGCATATTCTAAAAAGTGTTTGTCTTTATAGTCATTCATCAAATTTTGAAACAATTGTCCATTTCAGCTTATATAACCAAGGCTGCAGAGGATTAGAATTATCTTATATTCAGTTGTTAATGCAGTTTAATTTATTGTTGGTTAAATATGTTAGTTTAAGTTGAGATATATGTATGTTAGTATAAATATATTAGTTATATATAATATGATTTTTTTTTTTAAATTGAGATATATCTCATTGATATATTGAGCATGAATTTGACCTAAACCGCCATGTCCAAGGTTAGAAAGCCCTCTTTGGCATTGAACAGTTCCTGATGGATAAAATCCTGCAAACTATGCCAAACTATATTGGCTCTCACATGTTGTGAACAATTGCAACATGCCAAGTTTGAAAATGCCAAAGTCTGATAAGATTTGAGAGTTTGCAGCAATTAACTACAAGTCACCATCAAATGTATTTTCTAAATGCATGTTATTGATCTTATTGTAAATTTGTTGCTTGTAATCTTTAATCAAAATATCATAACTCGACTTCTCAAGTATTTTTTTTTCTTCTCATAAACCCCATCCCTTTTTATAATTTACTCCAAGCTCGCATTCAAATCTGCATTCATCCAGTCGACCAATGGACAGAACGAAGTCGTACAAGTATTTAGTATTTAAAATAGTAAATACAATACTAAATAAATAATTGGGCGCTATTTCCATTACATCCCAACTTTAAATTCTGGTTTGTTCCTCAAGCAAAGCTATCTTATGGCTTCTGAAGACTTGGAATACATTGTAAGTGCATGGACCACTTTCGTGATAGTCTTTTTGGTATTTTTTTTGGAGTTTTGCATATGAAGGTAAGTAAATGATGACAAATTTTCTTTTTCTTATTTTTTTAATGGAACCATTTCTTTAATGTGACCAGATTTTATTTCCCATCAGGTAGTAATAGAATACTGACAGCAGAATTTGTACAGACAAGTCTATCCCAGTGTACAGTACCTGTCAAACGTGTAAACAATATTTAAAAGCTTGGCAGTATGATATATCATTCTTTTCCTGCATTAAGCAGATACTGTCCATCAAACCATGGTCCATGTGGTAACCACATGACCCCCTACATCAGCCTAAAGCAGCAGGAAGACAAGGGCGTGATATATACAAGAGGTTGAGATGGAGAACACCGCCATAATAAAGGCACGCGGAAACATGATACAGGAACACTCCTAGAAAAAGATGACCCAGCTCCCCCTTCCATGCCTGACGTTAACAAAGCCAACGGCATTATGGGATATATGGGCCAGACAACGTAAAAAAACCTCAGCCTGGTTTTCTCATTCCCATCACCTGCTGCTGTCTCAGGAGGAAAGAGGTGCTGGTTTTTACCCCCGCGTGATGAATGACCATCGCTCTCAATTTCTGCCCGCGCATCACCTCTCAGTCACTTGGCGTCAGACCATCATGCGACTGGCAACGAAGACACCTGGGGCGGTGATAGACGGAGAGGTGTGAGCCGAGAGGAGGATGCTTGGTCAATAAATTAATGTGTCACTTTATTCTCCTCATTTCTCTTTTTCGTTTTTTACACCTAAGGGACGGGAGGCATGAATACATAACGGGCGAAAAGGGCAGCCGGTGCGATCAGAGTTTGACAGCACAGAGGAGACCGTTGATGCCCCAGAGATCCCCACAGATGACTCTTGTCCGTTCCAGGTTTTAAGGTCAAAAACAAGGGGGACACTGTAGATTTGCATATATTCGCATGTCACAGTCCTAATCCGTGAGCTAGCCTAGATATGTGAAGGTGTGCTTAACATTTACCCAACATGTTCGACATCTGGAAACCCATCTCTTCCGTTAGCACTTAAGTGCATCCTGCAAAACACTTTCTTGTTTTGTTTTGACTATTATTATATTCCTCCTTCTAGTTTGTAATATTCTGGGGTGTGTTTCCCAAAAGCAATATGGTCGCAAGTTCCATCATTACCAATAGAGTTTAATGGAACTTGCAACCATAGTTAGCTTACGATGCTTTTGGGAAACACTCCCCTGGGCAGTGCTTGAAACTTTACATTGTTAGCACTACTCGTGTTTTGCCTCATCATAAAACGCTTGTTGCATTCCGCATTTTTAAATTACTCTGGATTAAAGCGTCTGCTAAGTAATGAAACCTTTCCTAATTTCCTGATAATTTAGTCACCCCCATGTCATCCAAGATGTTCATGTCTTTCTTCAGTCAAAAAGAAATTAAGGTTTTTGAGGAAAACATAACAGGAATTTTCTCCATATAATGGACTTCAATGGTGGCCAATGGATTGAAGGTCTAAACTGCTTTCAGTGCAGCTTCAAAGTGCTCTACACGATCCCAGACAAGGAATAAGGGTCTTAACTAATGAAACGATTGGTCATATTCTTAAAAAAATTAAAATGTACATACTTTTTAAACACAAATGTAAATGTGTCTTACACTAGCTCTGCGATGTGCATGCACGTCTTCACACATTGCATAATCATGTTGAAAACATCACGCGCAGTTAGCTATTTGTCTGTGTACGTCCAGCACCATTGTTTTAACTTTTTTTGTAAAGGCCGTTTGACTTTCTTTGCATGTCCACTTTGTAAACACTGGGTCGGTACTTCTGCCTATGCCCAAGTGCTTGATTACGTAATGCTTGAGGTTGAGCTAGTGCAAGATGAGCATTTGTGGTTAAAAATTAAATAGATTTGTATTTTCCTTAGAAAATGACAGATTGTTTCCCTAGATAAGACTCTTATTCCTCGGCTGAGATCGTGAGCCTTTTGAAGCTGTATTGAAACTGCAATTTTGACCTTCAACCCATTGGCCACCATTGAAGTCCACTATATGGAGAATATCCTGGGATGTTTTCCTCAAAAACCTTAATTTATTTTCGACTGAAGAAAGAAATCAACATCTTGGATGACATGGGGGTGAGTAAATTATCAGGAAATTTTAATTCTGGTAGCGAACTGCTCCTTTAAATATTAAAAGTTGGTGCATAAGGCCCAAAGCAAACTCTACACAAGTATGTGAAAATATGCTGACAATTTTAATTTGACAAGTTTAATTTGACATGTTGCATTCCAAAATGAGAGCAACCGAGTGCAATTCTGTATGCTTTGCAAGTTGTTGCAAAGCAGCATAAACGGATTCCTTATATGGTCTGTTAAGTCTTCCAGGTCAGCTCCTGTTGGCAGATCAATAGTTTTGAGAGAATCTTGCTGAGATAGTTATGTGTAAAAATGTATAGATACTTAAAATGACAATACTCAGTTTAATGGCAACATATATTTGAAGGTAATTGATCCTAAAGTACTGAATATAAATAGACTGTTTCTAGTCTCGCTCCACACTAATCTTACTCCACACAATTTTATAAAGAAAGTAATAACAAATCATAAGGAGACATGTGCTTTAACTTTTTTATGTGACCTAGAAAGGCCAAAAAAATCCTTTAGACTTACATTGAAATAGGGACCTGACCCATATCTTGGGGCGAGAATATCATAGATTTGACTCTTTGTAGGCACTTTTTGACTCATGCCAGCAAGTAACCAATTAACAACCACCCAAAACACCCTAGCGAACAAATAGCAACACACTGTCAACCAACTAGGATGCCTTCGAATTTTGATGGTGAGTTTTGCATCTGCAAGAACTTGTCCTCCAATCTTTACAAAAAAAATAAAAAAATAACCTGCTCATAGAATTTTCCTGTACTTTGTAATTTTAGCTATGATTGTGTGACTTTGTTTCAGGATCACGTCCTACTTGGGTAAATAAGGAAGCAGTTTTGTGCAATTAGCCGAAAGATGACGAATTGGATGGTTCCAGCACAGCGTCAGTGTTGAAGAATCCTAGCTGACTGTGGGTCTGGACCAATGACCTCTTCAATTTTCCCTTGCTCTTTAGTATGATGGAGAGCAGCTTATGGTTTCGCACAAACACACACACACACATACACACATACACATACATTTCGACATCTCACCCACTCGATCTCTCTTTCACACACTCTCTCTCCATGTCTCCCTAGAGTTTACTCTGTCCTTGCCTGGAGCTTTCTTGCGAGCGTCTCACGCTGTAAGTGATGACCTGAGAAATTAATCCTGCCAGTGGCTCATAGGCACCAGCTTTCTCAGAGCCCCAGAAATCGCGGCTGGGGCATCGTTAGATACGGATGTTTTAGACGGATGAAGATGGAGAAGGATGTTTGTGTAAACATACAGCACACAACTTAAAGGGTTATTTCACCCAAAAATGAAAATTAGACTGTGTTTTACTCACCCTCGAAACATCCTAGGTGTATATGACTTTCTTCTTTCCGACGATTCCAGTCGGAGTTTTATTAAAAATTGTCCTGGCTATTCCAAGCTCTATCATTGCAGTCAGCGGGTGTTGCAGTTGAACAGTCCACAAGTCGTCAAATAAAGCGCGCACATCCATAACAAAACGTGCCTCACACGGCTCCGGGGGGTGAATAAAGGCCTCCTGTAGTGAATCTATGCGTTTTTGTAAGAAAAATATCCATATTCCAAACGTAATAAACACTTTGCTCTCACTTTCAGTGTCTGTCATATGCGGAAGCCGTTCCGGCGGATGACGCAGCACATATGCGCATCGTGCGCCTCTGAGATATGCTAGTCTCGGGAGTTTGTTTATAGGAGCAAAGGAAGCAAAGTTTCCTTACTTTAGCAAAGGAAAACCAGTCTCCTCTTGGTTTATATCAAAATCCTCCAACATTTTTCTTTACAAATCCTCGGTTTGTACTTCTAATTCGTGACCGGCGTTTTGTTTTGTTCTCTCTCCGCATTCGTCACTAATCACACAATGCCGACATACTACGTCATCTGCCGGAACGGCTTCCGCGTATGACAGATAACGGAATTGAGAGAAAAGTATTTATTACGTTTGAAATAGGGATATTTTTCTTATAACACATGGATTCACTACAGGGGACCTTTATTCATGCCCCGGAGCGGTGTGAGGCATGTTTTATTATGAATGCGCACGCTTTATTTGACGACTTGTGGACTGTTCAACTGCAACACCCGCTGACTGCAATGATAGAGCTTGGAATAGCCAGGACAATTTTTAATATAACTCCGACTGGATTCATCTGAAAAAAGAAAGTCATATACACCTAGGATGCCTCGAGGGTGAGTAAAACACAAGCTAATTTAAATTTTTGGGTGAGCTAACCCTTTAAGATATAGAATCTGTGCACTGATGCAATCTTTCAGCACTTACACCAATAATTTGGTGGACTTTGAAAGAAATTAAAACCATTTTATATGCTATAACATATTTTCTACATTTATTTAACTAATTTTGCACCCACTAGTGGTTCAACAAACTTCTGAGATGAATGGGAGTGGTAGCAGTCAGCTTTTTTCCAGGTAGCAGCTGAAAAATAATTTAAATAAGAAATAATAAAAGTGTAGCATTTTAATGAAAGATTGCAACAACAAACATTTGTTTACTCCTGAATAATGTGCAAATTGTTCACAAGAACAACAGAAATATGTATTGATAAGTAAATAGAATCAATTTCGATTTCATGTTAACTTAAATGAGTAAGCTACAATTTACAGCCACTTGCGGAACGGAAATTGCAACGTAAACCTTATATAAAAGCACCACAGCTTTCAGATTTGCTACATTACGGCTGTCATATATTTAATGGTTTGTTTGGAAACCATTACAGCACAGGGAACATCAGCTCCCTGGGGGTGCAGGCATCACGAAAAACAAGCAGCGGAGATTGTAACGTTCCAATAACACAATATCAGCCTCACCATTTAAAACTAATCAATTCTTCATCAACTCACTCATTTTACCATATCATCCCTATTGAACACGACGGTTTGAGAATTTCTTGCAAGACCGTCAAATCAATGGCTAGTCACGTTGATTGTGTAATTCTGCAAGATGTAACCATGCATGCAGCAGGTGGTAAGTATTCAAACTGTAGGTAAGTGATCAATGATCATTTGCAGAACAAGGGTGCGCCTTTACCCATAATGCATTGCTGTGAATACATAGCCTTGTTATGTTTGTCCCATTATGTCTGCATTACTTTTATGTTTCAGTGAGACATAAATGTCTCCTTGGATGGGCTGCCATGG